AAAGAGCCAAGGTTGATTACCCCTGATCTATACATACCTAGAGGGACACCAAGTTGAGGGAAGATTCAGAATTCTTCTTACTGTCTGACTGAAACAGGATAATGCATTTGTAGGAAGCTGTTCCGATTATAAGAATCATTACTATCAAGCAAAGAAAATTTGTCTTATTCCCAGGGCACACGGACCCCTTTACACTATGCTAGCTTAGTGTACAGACACACTAAATGCTTAGCATACAAAAATGGTGCAGAGAAGGTTGATACAGGGATTGGAAAGCCTTCCTAGTACAATTTCATAACTGTCTCTGTATCCTTAAGGGAGTAGTGCATTTAGTTATAGATCAGCCTTCCAACTGCCTCAGATTCAGTCAGTTCCAGAGTTAGGTATGTACTCTTGTGGTTGAAGAATGTTCCATGTCAGTGGTAGCGAACCTATGGCACACGTGCCAGAGGTGGCACTTAGAGCCCTCTCTGTGGGCACGTGTGCCGTTGCCCCAGCAGAGTTCACCAGAGTAGCGAGCACGGGGCGTTTGGAAGTGACAGGGCAGGAAGTGAGCGAGCAAGCGGCGTTGGCCCCCCGGGGATGCCCCAGAGATGGCGAGGGACTGGCCCCTGCCACACTCACCCAGTCTGCCACACACACACCCTGAGGGCACCACAATGCTGATGCAGCCCTGGCACTTTGCGATAAATAAGTGGGTTTGGAGTTGCAGTTTGGGCACTCATTCTCTAAAAGGTTCGCCACCACTGTTCTATGTAAACAACCTGATCCTTCCCCCTCCTCCTTCCAATTCCATGCAACCCAAATTAAAAACAAATTGTGAAAAATGGGAATGGAAATGGCTGTAATGTTGCTTTTGGGGAGCAGCACACTTTTCTTTTTCCCTTTGTGCAAGCTATCAGAGTTGTAAGCCTAAGTAACCATCTTCCCACACACTTAAAATACAGTGAGTGGGAGGGACTGTATGAAAAGCTTTGCAGTCAGTTGTTATTTAAAATGAATTCAAATCTCATCATCTTTCTTTCTAATAGCAAAGTCAGCTGATGAGCGCCAACAAGATTGTAGCCAAAATGGGGCCACTGAGAAATAAGAGGAATATATCACCATGCTCCGGGGAACCTTTGATGATTGCAAAAGTAGGGAAAATATTTGCAGGATAGGAAAGGAGGAAAAATAAACCCAGCAATCTAAGGATGACTGTGTGGCTACAATAGAATGGGAATGAGAAGCAGAAAAGGGGAGAAAAGAAACTAGAAGACTTTGAATAGGTTCGCTCTTTTTTTCGTAGATTCCAGTTTGTCAATTATCAATAAACCAACAATAAAAATAATTGTCCCAAACTGTTAGGAATAAGGGTAGAAATGGTAGGAGGATTTTTGTGATGGACATTATAGCAATGGCACTTAGAGTTATATACCGCATCATAGTGATTTACAGCACTCTCTGGGTGGTTTACAATGTCAGCGTATTGCCCCCTTTAGTCTGGGCCCTCATTTTACCAACTTTGGAAGGATGAAGGGCTGAGTCAACCTTGAGCCCCTGTCAGGATTGAACTCCAGGCTGTGGACAGAGTTTGCCTGCAATATTGCATTATAACCATTGTGCCACCAGGGCTCAGTATCCAAGAACAGTACTAAATATTAAGCTTATCTGTTTCAGAAGTACCGGTTAAGACTGCAAATTATTTGAAGGGTTGCACAGAAGACATTTGAGATGAGACTACCACTAAAGTGCCTTGCTAAAAGCTTTGTGCAGCCCTAGAGCTAGTTTGAGAACCTCTTGGTGTAATAGTTAAAGTCACTGGGCTAGACAGTAGGAGACCATGGTTCTAGATCTGCCTTTGGCACAAAGACAGCTGGGTGATATTCAACCAGTTGCTCTTTCTCAGCCTTAGGAAAGTGGCAGTCATAATCCATTTCTAAAATCCTTTCATGAACACTGCGTGGATTTGTCCAGGCAGTCATCAGGTTTCAAGGTTGATTTGAAGGAACACACATCCTAAAAACTAATTTAGGCTTCTTGGTGCTATTCTTTGACCTTTTGTTATAAGCAGAAAGAAGGGCACAGGTACAAGATCAGGTAGAAGATTTCACTGGAGCAATTTAAAATTATAGAACTGGATATCTGATCAAAGGAAGCAACGGGTGGACAGGCTGACTGTTAGCCCTTCAAAGGTAGTCCATACAAGAAGCCAGACTGATTACCAACTCTGTCTTTCTTGTGAGTTTGCATTAACAGAGTCTTCCAAGGAAAGAGATGAAAACATCCCTCTTTCTTTCATTTATATTCTCCTGAAAACTAGGGGAAAATCCCTTCTGAAGCATTTTCAGCATCTCTCCTCCTTCAGACTCTTAAGTTCACTTATCAGACCATTGTCTAGACCAGAGGTCCCCAACCTTTTGGGCACCAGGTACCGGTTACGTGGAGAGGTTTTTCCGCGGACGGAGAGGATGCGGTTTTGTGTGCTGCCTGCATCCTGCAAATGGGGCTTTGCTTGTTTGTGCGGACTGGTTGCTGGCATGCCGCGGCCTGGTACTGGTGCACGGACTAGGGGTTGGGGACCCCTGATCTAGACTGTGGCTTTTCCTTGTTTCTCCCAAAATCATTCCCACATGCTATTCCTTAATCTGGTACCTTCCATTTATGCAGAGAATATAAATCTCATCAAATCAACAAAGTAAAGTTGCTTTGAGAGAAAGACAGTTAGTGTGGTGGTTAAATATACTAGATAGGGAGCAGGGAAACCTGACTTCTGGTCCTGCATGAAACAGTGACTTTGGACCACTCACTGTCACTCAACCTGGGAAAAAGACACAGTATTGGCAAGAAAACTGTATAGACCTTCCACATAGTCATCACAAATCAGGGTAAATTTGAAGGATCGTAATAATAACAAGAAAGCCAATTGCACATGGTTGGAAAAGGCAAATCTATGATATGAATTGGTGTCAATTCCCAATTAAATTGAATGGTATTCATTGGACCTATAAATTGATAAACCCATCAATTTATTTCATGAATGTACTTTTGAGACTCAGTTTAGACTTTTATATCAGGATATTGAAAAAAAGAGAAACAGTTTGTCTAGAGATTCTAGACAAGGATGGAAAATCAACACTGCACAAAATGGGCTCTGTGCTTTCAGCCTCTGAAAAACCTTTGATGAAAATATTCAGGACACATAATTTTGAATGGATGTATTATTGGAAAGAGATGTGTTCTGTTAATCCATCTCATCCACATAGTCTTTTTGCTCTGATGCCCCTCTCATTGTTCACTGAGAAGATGTCCTCAGCACAGCCTCCATCTGGGTGCCAACCAACTGCTGAGGCAGGCTGAAGCAGGATCAAGGTGACCCACCAGAAACATGCTGTTTTCTATGGAAAGTGGAAAAAATACTCATATGTTAACCTTCTGCAGTACATGAGAAGTAGCCATCAGATGCTCCAATTGGACCACTGTAGCATGACCTCCTCTTAGGTGGAGGACACTGAACAGTTATACTGTGGCTGCCTGATGGACTGACACTTCATCGGCGCAGCCTGTTTCTGGCTTTGTTAGGTCTTTTGTTTCACTCATGGGAATTCTCTTCTTGTGGAAGACAATCCCATGTCTACCAAGAGGTCAAGATTCCCATCAGCACCCAAATCTTTGCAGGGAGGAGGAAGAAAGGAAAGCTGGGCGATGAAGGGAGGTGGAGAGAAGCTCTCTGGTAGCACCTAGCAAAGGGAAAGGATTGGATTCTAGCCAAGAGGTTTATCACCTTGCCAATGATTTCACCTTCCCCTTATTTGGAAAGAGATAGAAAAGATTTGGAGTCCTTGTGGTAGACACCTTTTAATGGGAATTGGTAAGTTGAAAGATGGCAGTGAAGAAGGAGGATGACCAGCAGAGAATGTGCTCACATGGGCAGAGACAATTTCCACTCCTGTGCAGGTGAGGAATTTGAAAAAAAAAAATGGGGGGGCTCCATACAGAAGAATTAATTGCTTCACAGGCAACAATGCTATTTGAGTCAACCTTGACGACCCCTTTTTAAAGCCACATGCTCTTATCCTCTCTCAACATTTTTGTATGTAGATGAGCCCTTTCATTCTGAAATGTCAAAACTGATATGGTTCAGCAGATAGGCACTTAAGCTTGATGGTTTTTATTCAGGTTTTGGACTGATAGTTATCTTCTCAGGGCTATGTAGTTCAGGAAGATAGAACACATTTATAACTCATATGTTCTAGAATCAGAATGTAATCCTTTGTGTGGTATAAGTGCTATTGCTATTGCTATATTCAGCTGAATGGAATTGTTTTGGACGGAACACGCAAAGCATCTGGTTGTAGCCCCTAAGTCCCTCATTCATGCAAGAAACTCACATTTTTCTAAATCTGAATAAAATTGTGATTGATTTACATCAAAATGCACTGCATTTTTATCTTTTTCACTATAAACCCACTTTTGTCCTTCATATCTTCCTTTATTTGCATAGCCGAGGGCCACACAGTCTTTCTGCCTCATTTTACTTAATGTAAAATGGGGATAACAGTCACCTACCTTAGAGAACAATTGCAGACCTGCAATGCCGGTCATGAGCTGTCTGTTCATGTCGTGAATAGCTAAGTATGTACTGCATTTATTCATGGCTGAAGGGGGGATTTTAAAGTGGACTTCTCCAGCCTTACTCTGCTGTTCTGACATCATAATGGCTGATAGTATATGCAAATGCTATATTTTTTTAATCCTGGGTTGTTCTACGGACACCAAATTCATATTGGTGCCCATTACTATTATTTTTCCTGTTCCATTGTCTGTACTAAACAGGATGCATTATGCATGAGGTATGTGAAACTTTCAAAATGAATATTTATCTAGAAAAATAAAACGTTGCTTGAAAACACACAGCAGAGTAGCTAAGTGAACTGCGTTCAAGCTAATTCTTTCTCCATCCTGTCTGTTTTGTGTTTGTGTATCTCTCCTTCTCTCTCTCTTGGATGGAACCGGAGCAGATTCAGCAAAGAAAGCCCCAGCTTCTTGAAAACAGTGATGGGTCAAAGGATTCAGATAGTTCTGCAGGCCGGCGAGGCAGCTTGAACAGGAAGCACGAAAGGTGGAAGAATCGTCTGGATAATCCTGGCGTGCTGGTTGCTAAAGTGGTGAGGGCGGTCACAGTGAAGCAGGAACTGAGCCTCCAGCTGCCAGTCTACTTGGATGTGTCCAGTCGAAGGAACCAGACACAGCTTAGAAGGGATGCCCAACTGGCCATGTTCCAGCACGGAGACACCGGCAGTGTGGAAGGGGCCCCGCAGCCTACGGACAACAACTTCACTCCCAAGTGTGAAATCACAGGCAAAGATGCGCTGTCTGCATTAGCCAGAGCTAGCAGTAAGCAGTGTCAGCAGGAGATCGCCAATGTGGTGTGCCTGCACCAAGCTGGAAACCTGATGCCACGGTCAGTACCCCGGCAGTGCCAGCTCTCAGGTGAGAATGGAAGAACCTTTGTGGAATTGTCCCCCACGAACTGAGTGGGAGTGTGCAACCCTTGTATCAGGACAGGGGTGATTATCCTTTGCATATGCACAATTTAGGAGTGCAGCTGCCCCTTGGTTTAGGCCCATTTACCAACACCTGAGTCGTTCCTCTTTGGATGCCAACCCACAGTCCTGTCCCAGCCTTGCTGATTGGGAACCTTCACCTCCTCCTGCCCAGGCCTTGGAGTGCCGACCTTCTGCATTCAGAACATCTGCTGTGTTACACAGCTGTGGCCACCAACATAATAATCTGTGACAGACTCCTTGATTAAAGGAGGCACAGACTGTCCAATTAAGGCTGTTCTGTTGACTAAATGAATCTTACTTGTAATGAGGTTGGTTGCTCTACCAATATTATTTCAGCGTCTGAGAGGTTGCCAGCTAGCCAACTGGGGAGAAAAGGGAAAAGGGGGTAGTCTGAATGCCGCAAGACTTTTAATCAGGAAAGCCTATCTTTCTGGGGAAAGTACAGGTAGTCCTCAATTTACAACTATTCATTTAGTGGTTGTTCAAAGTTACACTAAAAAGTGACTCATCACTGTTTTTGACACTTATAACCATTGCAACATCCCCACAATCTTGTAATCAAAATTCAGACCCTTGGCAACTGACTCAGATTTATGAGGGTTGCGGTATCCCGGGATCATGTGATCACCTTTTGTGACCTGCTAACAAGCAAAGTCAATGAGGAAGCCAGATTCACTTAACAACTGTGTTAGTAACTTAACTGTGGTGATTCACTTAACAACTGTGGTTAAAAAAGGTTGTAAAATGGGGCAAAACACACTTAACAACTACCTTGCTTAACAACAGAAATTGTTGGGTTTAATTGTGGTCATAAGCTGAGGACTACCTGTAGTGGTATGTGGAGAAAAGGCAGTGATGAGATGGCTTACGACAGAGTTACATTCTTACACTCACACACACACACACACACACACACACACACACACACAGAGTCTTGCTGCTGCTGTCTCTACCGCCTCATCTAGCATCCTTCTGAAAAAAGTGTTACACAGATCCTAAGGAATTGCTTGCAGAGGAATTTGAAATTAGCTTGAAGATTTTCCACCTCTACTAGGATGTCAGTAATCCCCAAGATGTGTGACCAAGACAAATCAGAATGGCTTTGTGCAACATGATTTCCTTTCCCCTTTTCCCGCTTTTTTCTAGTATGTGGTAATTGCTGTGAGACATTCCTATTCTCAGACCTTTTGCTGAACTTAAAGGTGAACATTCCTGTTCCTTAAGGGCCAATATCTGCAAAGAGATAAGGGCCTAACTCCCCAAATTCTATTATTAAAAATTGAAGGCAGAATTCTCTAAACATTATTCTTGGCAAAAATAAAATTAAAATGTAACAAAGTGACAACCTCTGAATCCAGAAAGTTAAATCTTGGACATATCTCGACAATCATTCTTGGCCTCATCCTGGGTTCTGAGTTTCATGAGGCCCATGCATTTTTGAACCCATATTTGCAAATATGTGTGGACTAGGATAGCAGCAGAGTTGAATCTGGAGGGTGAGAGATGGGAGTTCTTAAACCCAGAAGAAGAAGCAATTCTCTGTCTCCCTCATCTAAACCAACCCGAATAGCAGCACTTGGCAGCAGCTCCAAGGCAAATAGAATAGAATAGAATAGAATAGAATAGAATAGAATAGAATAGAATAGAATAGAACTGAACTGAACTTTTTATTGATCAAATGTGATAGGACACACAAGGAATTTGTCTCCGGTGCATAAGCTCACAGTGTACAAGTAATAGGTCATATTCATAGTTACAATCAATCATAAGTTACAAACAACAATTGATAAATCATAAGAAACCAATAGGAGAAGGTAGCAGGTAAGATGAGAAGATGAGAAATGAGACAGTGCTGTGGGAATTTTCAGCAGAGCGATGGCACAGGGAGAAGAAACTATCTTTACGTCTGGTTGTTTTGGTATGCAATGCTCTATAGCAGGGATCCCCAACTCCCGGTCCATGGACCAGTACTGGGCCACAGCATGCCAGCAACCGGGCCACACAAGCAACCAAAGCCCCATCCGTGGGATGCAGGCCGCACACAAAACCACACACCCTCCGATCCACAGAAAAACCTTTCTCCACGGAACTGGTCCCCGGTGCCCAAAAGGTTGGGGACCTCTGCTCTATAGCAGCGACCTGAGGGGAGAAGTAGAAGTCAAGGTCTTGACTTCAGCCCTAGCACCACTGCTACCACTCAAAAAGGCTGCCTCACCCTGTTCCCCAAGGGGCAATTGCCCCTGCAGTCCAGCACTCCCCAGGAATGGCCACATGACACTTACCTTCGGGCAGTGTTTCTTTCTGTTGACAGGCCTGTACGGCCTATCCAAGGCTGTTCCAGGTCGCACAAGGTCTTAGTTATTGAAGTGGCTTTGGAAAATGCTCTGCAACCTCTGCAGCTTCTGAAAACTGCACCAAAGCACATGATTTTTGGAGGCTCCAGAATTGCGCAAGAACCTGTCCCTCTCGTACAACTTCTGGAGGGTCCAAGGGTTGCATGAGATCACATCACATTCTGGCACAGCCTCCAAAAATTGCACAAGAATAGGATGTGCCTTCAAGAGTAGTTACTGTCAGGTGTTGGTGGACACTGGTGTGTCATCCAAAACATCTTGGCGCATCACATTTGACACACGTTTCCTAAGTTCACCATCACTGGCATGCCTGGCAAACACAAATGTAAAAAGATATGGGAGACAAGGAATGAAATAAATGCCTTCTGTAGCTACCTTCTGGTAAATGTCTGACTGAGGAAATCAGTCTTCTGCTATGACAGTTGAGTAAAAAAAAAGTATAATTATAAAGTATAATTAAAAAAAAAAACTTTATGAAGAACAAAGGAAATGTAAGCCTGCTTTTTTAACTGTATGCAGTTAAACATTCTGTGGCAAAAGAGATAAAAATAGAGAGCTGCTAAAAATAAAGATGGGAATCGACCATAAAAAGCTGTCACAGCAGATATAAAATTGGGAGAGATCCAGGGTGTAGTAAGGGCTCTGCTGCTCAAAGAGCCCAGGGTATAATAACTGGCTTGCACAGATACAGTAATCCTCAGAAACAGGACAGTAGTTATCATAGACAAAGACTGTGACAAGCCTACACTTTACAGTAAATCAAAGATCCAATCACAGATTCTTGGCAAAAACTTTCACCTATACCTTACAAACAAATTGAGTTCCTGAATTGAAAGATTATTCTTTGTTTCCCTGGAGTTCCCCAGCTGGAACATTTAATGAGGGTCTCAGGAGCATTCTTTCCTTTCAGCTCCTTTCTTCTGGCCTTGCTATGCTCTTCCTTTCTCCTTTTGTTTTCCTATTTCTATTTTTTTAAAGGGGGCCTTTTTACCCAAATAGGGAAGGTATTAGGAGCAATATTTTCTGGACTTCGTGAGCAAGAGCCTGTCACTCTCAGGAAGATCCTGCTTGGCCACCTGGGGTAATGGGACTATCCCCATACTAGTTAGATAGAGAGGAGTAATGGTGCATTAAGAATATGGCCTTTGCTCACCTCTCTTGAGGTTTCTAGCACAGCACAAGCTTTCCAGCAGCTGCAAGTTGGATCAAAATAGGAAGTTGCCCTTCATACTGTTGTTCCTTATTGTGTGTGTGGATCAGGAGAAGTTTGGCTTGTAATCTAAAGATCACTTGGCCTAAGGAGCTTATTCAGTGGCTCCCCTCTTTTTCCATTCAGACCATGCTGATCCTAGATGTGATCCCTTTCAATCTCTGCAGGGAAGGTTAGTCCTGTGATCCAATGGGATGAGAGCAAAATGGTCCGGGCCTCCATGGACAAGCCAATTCGAATTGCATACATGCTTGTGGTTCATGGGAGAGCCATTCGCCAGCTGAAGCGCCTCATAAAGGCTGTGTATCACCAGCAGCATTTCTTCTACATACATGTGGACAAGGTAAGGCATGTGACATTTAAGAGGGGATTGATGGCATGAAATGAGCCAAGGGGCCACAGATCTCTTGACAAAGCATCTGTTTCTCAGCTTCTATCCTCTGCTATACTAGATATACACATTTCCTGTGTATAGGCACTGTAGACAATACAAAAGAAGAGGTGATAATTTGCTTACTCACATCCTTCCTACGTGCAGCCCAGATTTTATTATGAATAAATGAATGGTTGGATAAAGCAGACCTCATGGATCTACTCTGTTCAGGAAAGACAGACACAAAAGTCCCAAGCTATCCGCCACAAACAGGGTGGGTTGGCACTGAGAATATCCAGGGGCAGCTGATGTCCACTTTACCCCGTAATGGCTTCTTGCAACTAGCCAAAACTAGACTGAAAATTTTGATACTGCCTATTTTACTGGGTGTCCTATTGCACTGAGATCTTTGCAAACCCCTTTTAAAACAGAAAACCGAATGGACCCTGGTTCCAAAAAGAAAATTTTATTTTATAATGTATCCTGAAGAGGCGACATGGATCATTCCTTTTTATTTTTCTTTATTCAATATTTGATTGAAGCCAGGAGCTACAGTCTTCATTTTGGGTCCTTGAGGCAGTTAGTAAAATTCCTCAATGGCAGGTAGTCCTTGTGGGTGAAACCAACTTTCATGACTGGTGTTGTGTTTTGCCTTCATCCGCACTCCAGCTGCTTTGTTCCCTATGTTGTCTTGAAACCCCCAGAAATCTGTTGCAAAAGTCAATGGAAAAATGCTTAGTCAGTGAACAAAATAATCTTATCTCTGTGGTGTTGGGCATTTCTGTTTCAAGGCATCCCAAAAGATGTTTTTTTAACCCTAACCTGTTCTTATGTGTATATATTTTGCATTGATTCCCTAGAATTTTTCGTCAGCCTTCTACTCTATAATAATATGATAGTTCAAATGCTGGTTAACCACATGGGCAAAAACTTCTAAGACATCTTGTGGTGCATGTTGAGATAAAACACCAGTTTAAATATACAAGTTTAGAGCAAGGCATGCGTTAAAATAACAAGGTCCAGAGTTTTGGATGAATACAGTTTTCTGATTTGCTTCCTGCTAATCACTGTTTGGTTGGGAGACAAGGAAAACCTTTGGGGAAAGCAAGACAAATCCTAAGATTTAATGCATAGTCGGTGGGAGTTTTGCACTTTAGATGGTTTAGAGTACCAGTATTTACCATGCTGTTCAAGTTAATTAGGTTAATTAACCTAATTAATTAGGTTAATTTCAGTGGAAGGGCTGCAGAATTTGAAAGGGTAAAGCAGAGATGAAGACAGTGTAGGAAGCAGCTGTTTGCATAGTTAGCAGAACAATACCTTTGAAGCAAAGGATAAATATAAAGTCTTGTGAGAAATTCTATCTTGTTCTTGTAGATGTGGGGTTTTGTTTTGGAGTTCTTTTTTTTTTTTTTTTACAAAATATAGATATTATCAATGAATTGCTAACTTTATTTTTAATGTGAAAACCAAACATCTGAGGGTCAACCTATTCTCCAAAGCACCTGAAGGGAGGGCAAGAAGCAATGGATGGAAATTAATCAAGGAGAGAAGCAACCTAGAACGAAGAAGAAATTTCCTGCAGTTAGAACAATTAATCAGTGGAACAATTTGCTTCCAGAAGTTGTAGGTGCTCTAACACTGCAGGTTTTAAGAAGAGATTGGACAACCATTTCTCTGAAATGGTAATATGGTTTCCTACTTGAGCAGGGGGTTGGACTAGATGACCTCCAAGGTCCCTTTCAACTCTGTTATTCTGTATCTTGCAAATGAAAGCTGACATACGAAACTTCTGTCAAAGCCAGCATTTCTGTATTTATTTCCACCCACCCATCCATCCATTTGTAAGTGGCTTCAATAACTCAGGTAACTCTAGGCAACTTACATAAATAGGATTAAAACAATTATCAAAATAACAAAAGGATAAGAAGCAAAAACTCCAGACTTTATACATATTATACCTGGGGAATAATAGGTTCAATAACAATAAAATAAACTACAATACCAGGGAGGTAAGTCTCTGTGCCATACCCCAGGATTTGCTGGGGCTTCTTTACATGCTTGCACTACCACTACTGTCACCAGACTCCTCCTGAGAAAGAAAGGGCCAAAGGGAAGTGTGGTGATCCTCATGGTATCCTAAGCCCTGGCATTCAGTTTCCTCTCCCTGTTCCCATCTCTCTTGCAGCGTTCTACGTACCTGCACCGTGAAGTGATGGAGCTGGCCCAGCATTATCCTAACATCCTGGTTACTCCCTGGCGCATGGTCACGATCTGGGGTGGGGCCAGCTTGCTGAAGATGTACCTGCGCAGCATGAAGGACCTGCTGGAGGTGACAGACTGGGCCTGGGACTATTTCATCAATTTGAGTGCCACCGACTACCCTACCAGGTCAGTCTTTAGGAAAAGCCCAGCAGGCAGCAGAGGGTTCTGCTGCTGACCTATGAGCATTGAGGTCATATGAGACAAGCTGGGATGATTTGAATGGAAAGCATCAGGGTTCTCCTTCTTCCCACCCCCAATTTAATGCAGAAATGCAGGTAGGAAAACAGGGTATTTCAGAGCACACAAGAGGCCATAGCATATGAGAAGTTTTGGTGTTGGGTGGCTTGGGTTAGAACTGAAGAACCTTCTTGGATGAGAAGTGAAATGTTTTCAAAGAAAAAAAAATCAAGAAAGTCCAGTTGCCTTTTGGAAAAGGACCTTTGGGACAATCATGACTTGGATGATGGAAAGTCTCCATAGATACAAGACATGGTTTGGTCCTGGTTTTTGCCAAAGCCTCTCAATAACTAGATAACTGTTGTTTGAAAGATACAGGAGACAAGGAAAATGACTATTAAAAAGGAAGGTTGGGGAACACATTGGATACGGTTAATTGGAAATCTACATAGATGAGAACATATTAATTCTGCTCTGTTTGCATCTGTTCTCTGCCTGCTTTTCCTCGTTTCTTCTCCGATCCCTCTTTCCCTTTTGCTTTCTTGTCTTCGAGCTCAGTCTTAATCTGATTCTCCACAGAGTAGGACAGTCCCGCAGAAACATTTTTAGAAGCAGTTGGGGATAGAAGCTCTGCCATCATACTAGGAAGGTTTCACACATTTAGAGGACACCCAAATTGGAAAGATGGCCTTAAAGTTTAGGCTTTTTTACTCTGTATTTCATGTGTGCAAATTCTCCTTTTCCAAAGAACTGTTCTATAACCTCTAAAAAATTTCCTCTTTAAATAAATTTGTTCTAGTATTTGTCTATCCAGGAACAAATTCCTGTCCCTGATAAAGCACTTGGTGCTGCATTTCCTATTCTATTGTTGAAAAGATTAGTAATGATTTTATTACAGTCTTATCTGTGCACAAGTGTATAAACAAGATTCTTTGTACAATGGGAACCCTGACAAAGTAGAATTTCCAATAGGGTATGGGTACAGCTTTATAACTGGTCTATCTTCAGAGCTTCAATAAATGTGTATATATTGGAACTCCTTTCTTCCTCTCTCCTGATCATGACTAAAGTTTGAAGGTGTGTTGGACTATCACATGGCCCATCCGGCCAAAGTATTGGCAAAGAATTGTGGTTTTTGTAATCCAAAACATTTGGAGGTACCTCAGGTTGCCTTTCCCAGAAAGCTTAGCAGTCTCCTGTCAGTTTTCTGCTTTTTCTAATTCTTTCTTTTGATTTGCTGCCCCCTGCAGGACCAATGAGGAGCTGGTGACATTTCTAACAAAATATCGGGACAAGAATTTTTTGAAGTCTCATGGACGAGATAATGCTAGGTAATTCAGAGAGCTTTGACATTGGGGAACAGATTAAAAATGGCAAAAAAAGCCCAAAAGCCCAGATAAATTGCTGTTGGACAGAGAGCATTCTTGGCTGTGGTGCCCCAGTTGTAAATACCCTGCCTAGTTCACCTGGCAACTGCTGTTTTCTCTCTTCAGACACAGATAGACTTTCTAATATTCATTATACTATCTTTTAGTTGTCTATTGTTCTTTGAATATTTATGAACTTTTAAAATGCATAGAATCCTTTTCCCACTGCTGTTAATCTTGTTTTCATTTTATCCTGTGCAGCTGTTTTTATCTTCTATTTAGATTTTATGACTTAATAATTTTTAGATGTTCTTGCCTTTTAACATATTTTTTTGCCAGCTAGAGATTTGCTGCTATTAAGTACTACCTATAAAAAGAGAGAGGAAAAGAATAGCTAAACAAATGAATGGTTAAAAAGATGCCATTGGTTGCAGTCATTATCACTTTCCTGTGGTATGGCAAGTTCATGGCACTTGAGTAGATTCTGTTGCTTTATTCATCTGAACCTGAATATAATTGAAAACTATATCTGAAATACATTTACAAATAATAAGCATTTCTCTTTGTTGTCTTTTTGGTTTTTTTGTTGAATCGTGTCTTCAAAAAGAGCTCCGAACCTCATAATTGTAAAAAAGAAAAGCATTCAAAAATGTGAAAAGCTTTGAAGCTATTTTTGATTACAGGCTCCGATTTAGAGGAGTCTGTTTTTGTTGGGCCAAAAATCATATGTTCACTTTGTAGTTTCTGCTCCCAGTAATTATCAAAAAACGATCTTTCAGCATCTTCCACAACTCTCTTCATTTGCTCCATAAATGCTGTCCAAAAAAAAAAAAGCTCCTGTAACGTGTAGTGTTGGCAGAATCATGGCAGCTTTTGAAGCCTCCAAAGGTTAATCAGACCAAACTGAAATTTTGCAAACAACCCAGTTTCCAAAATTGATGCTGGAAGATCTAAAGGCTGTGAATCGATATGATTATGCCGATTGCCTGGAACTCTCAGATTATAGAATCCAAAGTTTTCAAAGTGCAGTGTTCTAGGACTTTTCTTGTTCAAAACTTAATTCCTAAAATTCCATGTTGCTTCCTAGTGAATCTGAGGCATTCATCTCCGCATAGGTTCATCAAGAAGCAGGGCCTAGACAGACTTTTCCATGAATGCGACTCGCATATGTGGCGACTGGGTGAACGGCAGATCCCAGAGGGTATCGTAGTAGATGGTGGCTCAGATTGGTTTGCCCTAACACGCAGTTTTGTGGAATATGTGGTGTACACCAGCGATCAATTGGTCTCTCAGCTGCAACAGTTCTACACATACACACTTCTCCCAGCAGAGGTAGGTTAATCAGTTGTAGAGGCTTCAGGTTGATTGTGGTTGAATGGGTAGTATTTTTTTTTATGAGATGGAAGCTTTGTACAGCCAATACAGCCGATAACAGGCTGAGTATTAAGCTGCCCTGTAAGTGTTATTATCCTACTTTATGTAAGTAAGGAAATAAATCAGGCTTTTAATAGCATTCCTTCCCTGGTTCCCAAGTCTCCATTTTCTAAGTCTTACTATGTTTAACTGAGATAAATGCATACACTTCTGCTGCCTCTATTTGCTTTCTTAGTTGATTGTACCTCTCTTTGGGCTGGAAACTAGTCTCTCATATTTTGCAAATTCTGATACTACTTAAGTAATAATCCTTTTTAAGAAAAAAAATATTGCTTAACTAGAAGAAAAGGAACAGCCTGGCATATAAAGCAGAACCAAATATTGCATACCCCAAGTAATTTTGAGCTCTAGTACAGGGCTTGTCAACCGGTGGTATGCGTACCACTTGTGGTATGCAACCACTTGGCTGGTGGTACGCGGTGTCGCCTTCCTCCCCCCGGTGGCGTCGCCTTCCTCCCCCCTGCTCCGCTCCTTCCCACCTCACTTGTTTGTGGAAAATATGCTGTTTGGCGGCAGCCTGCATGAACTTTACTGAATGTGCCCTGCAGGAGCCCCGTGAAGAGCGCAAGCGCAGAGCAAAGCCCCGCCCTCCCCAGGGACTCATTGTGCAGCAACTGGTTTGACTTCTCATGCATTCAGATCAGCGAAGGGGAGGCCGCCGCAGCGCCAAACTCCTGCGCTCGTCAGCTGGCGACCCCCCGAACTTGTGCTTGTCAGCTGGGAGGTCTGGCCCCGGCGTCGGCCACCGGTCTCCTTTGCCACCCTGCACATCGTCCTCGACCCCTCCCCCAGCCCGTTCATGTCGAGCCCGCCAGGGCTTGACAGGGAGAGGGAGGGAAGGAGGAAAGGATTCCTCCTCCTCTCCTAAGGTTCAAAGCATGGTCAGCTTCCCAAGGGTGCCACAATCCCAATTCATGTGTTTCTGCCGTACCTCCTCAGTGCTCCCGGGAACGGGGCAGGCAGAAGAAAGCTTGGCTAGGCTAGGCAAAGAAAAGGCACGGAGCCGCGAGCTCAGATTGCAGGCAGGCCGGGGAACGGGGTGAAGAAGAGGAAGGGGATTGGGAGAGAAGAAACGCCAAGCTTGTTCTCGCCTCTCCCAAGGACCTCCTGCGCCACCTCACAGGAACACCTGGTTTCAGACTTACACCGCAAAAGTTTTTCTCACGCAGAGGAGAGAGGAAAAACAATTGCGGAACACTCGGGAATCACCAAGGCACCATGTACCTTGGTGCTTATTTCCTAATGCCTTCCCCCCGTGTTTTTTGCTCCACCCCAAATTCGCCTCCCTCCACTCTCCTTACGCCGTCATTTATGGTCTTAATACAGCCTTAAGTCTGTCTCACTTTCAACACCCCTTAAAATTCTTCATTCAGGCAGGCTTCCAGAATTCGGCTGGCAGGATGCAGGTAACCCCTCCCCCCTACCCTGCCGCCTCCCATAGCAACGCGCCGCTCCGCATCCTGCACCTCCGTGTCTCAAGCCTCCGTGGCACAGAACTGCTGGTGTTATGCTTGGGCAGAAGACTTTTTCTTTTAAGATGGGGCAGGTGGGCAACAAAATAATAATAATAATTCGATCACCTCTCTTTGAGATTCCTTCTGCAGCATGTGGCTTTTCTTTCAGAGTAAGAAAGTGTTTTTCAGAAGGTGGAGTCCTGCCCTTCAAATAAAGTTCTAAGTTTAGAATGAGTGCCTTGTGGGCATTGAGTGCCTTTGGGCCTTGATGGAGCCAAATTTCTCACGATGCTTCTCCTCCTCTCCTACAGTCCTTTTTCCACACTGTCTTGGAGAACAGCCGTGCCTGTGATACCTTGGTAGACAACAACCTCCGGGTGACAAACTGGAACCGCAAGCTGGGCTGCAAGTGCCAATATAAGCACATTGTTGATTGGTGCGGATGTTCCCCAAATGACTTCAAACCACAGGATTTCTTGAGACTGCAGGTACCCCAGACATTTCTATTTTCAGCATAATGTAACTTTATTTCTGCCCTCAGGAAGTTATTCATCCTTCTCTGTTTCATTTGCACAAACTGTAGTAGCTCAGTGCAGGTAAAATAGCAGAACAACAACAAGAATATGCCCTTCAGTCAAACTCAAATTCATCCACACAGTTTTCACGGCAGCAGTATAGAAATCGTTTGCAACTACTTCCTTCAGGATGTGTTTTTCTGACTTTCCAGTCTAGCTTCCACCCTGGAATACCTTGACACTCTCCCATCATCAAAATACCATCCAGTTTCAACTCTACTTCATTTTGAACCTCAGGCAAGGTCACCCAGGTTGAATTACCCACTTCCTCTTTGCTGAGCAACTGTTTTAGCCCCTCAGGTCCACCCCGACTGTAACGTGGAATAAGATGTTGCTTTTAGCCTTTTGTTTTATTTTTACATAGCTAGCATTTGACAGTGAATTCTTTCGCACCGGAATGAAAACAAGAGATTGTTTCATTCTGGTAGTCCTTCTCCCCCTCTCCTCCTTAAAAGCAAATGAAATGCAATAAGTATTAGGCAGTATTTTCAATATTAAACAAAATCAAGAACATGAGGACATCACCTCAGTCTGGCAGGAGGGAAGTTTAAAAGTAATGTTAGAATGCATTACTTCACAGAAAGAGTAGTGGAAGCGTGGAATCAACTTCCAGCAGAGGTGGCAGGCCAATCATCAATAACTGAACTTAAACAACGTGTGAGATAAACACATATCCCTCATTTGACAAAAATTAAAATAATAAAGAATAGTAAATTAATTAATTAATTAAAAAGAAAACAAAAAACAAACCCAAAGGGCAGACTCAATACACCAGTAGGTCTTTTCCTGCTGTCAATTTTCTATGTTCCTAAGTTAAGACTAAAAAAAAAACCAAAGACCAAAATAATTATCATAATATGTATTTCATCCACATATACTTTTTCTTCTCTTGGGGTTTTATATATCAATAGTTTATAATTAATAACCATGTTTATTATTATCAAAGATTTATTGGCCGTTGCAAAAATAAGTTAATTTTCAAAATGGTGGCTAATTCATTTTTATATTGCAAGTATGTGGGGTTCGGGAGCTTCTGTTAACTTTCAAGATTTTGCGAGAGATATTTTAGAACAATTATTATATTGGAAAGTTTTAGATTCCAAGTGCACGCTGCTTTCTGGTAAGTTTCTGTTTTTAGCACTGAATCATGTTGTGAAACTTTTCCCTCTGTTTCTCTCTCTGTCCCATTTTCCAAATGTTTTTTTTTTTTTTTTCTTTTCAGCAACTCTCCAGACCTACATTTTTTGCCAGGAAGTTTGAGTCAACCATCAACCAGGAGGTGCTGGAAATCTTGGACACTCATCTCTATGGTAACTACCCAGCTAACACGCCAGCCCTCAAGGCCTATTGGGAGAGTGTCTATGACCATGTGGATGGGCTGAGTGGGTTCAGCGACGTCATCCTGACTGTGTACACATCCTTCTCCAGGCTGGGGCTACAGAAAATGATCTCTGCAACAATCCAGAAAAAAGACAGGCCATGCAGGTAGCGCAAGCGTGTGACAGAGCCTGGGGTTGCTTTGAGGTGGGAGAGCTTGGTCTGGATTTCTGGCCCATCGGTCATTTGGCCTGAAGGGAAAAGGCGTGTCCTATCATGCCTGTTTCTTTGGATCTCCCTTCTTGCCAGAGGGATGGGATACTTTACCTTTGGAGAAAGACCTAAATCTCACGGGATTTAGCTTTTACAAACAGGCAATCCAAGTTTTGCTTCTGGTATCTGCCTGTAGAGATTGCTGTCATTTGGGATATCTAAAATGGGTTGATGGACTTACTGGCATAAAACAACTTTACTTTTTCAGTGGATTAGATGCTCAAAGTAAGTAGTCATCAGAATTTTCAATTAGGATCAGGACAACTCAGATTCAAATCCATATTCAGCTATGGAAGCTCACTGAATGACTTTGGCTGAGTTATTCACTATGCATCTTATTGAGGAAGTGAATTGTTGTATGGATAACCTTGGAAGAGGACCAGTGATGGATACCACCTTCAGCTCATGAAAAAAAGACAAGATCAAATTAATAAAACAGTATTATTCCAATAGGTCTCCTTGGTCTTGAAATAGTCTATAGACGGCTCATAGATGTAGAAGTGTCTACATCTATCATGTCGGTTTTGAGAACTGATATTTTAGACTGGCTAAAAAACTAAAATCTCAGTGGAAAATAAACCTGTTGAACTCATTGGAACGCAGAACATTTTGTTGTGTGAATTTCAAATTTGGAAATTGATGGGTTGATTCTCACTTCTACTGTTCAGGTTGGCCATAGTAAGCAACTTCTCTACCTGACTCAGTTTTTCCATCTGCAATATGAAGGATAATAATAATGAACTTTTCAGAGCTGTTCCTAATTATGCATATGAAATATTCTGACTATTTGTAAGTGCTATTCAGGGTTGTTATTACTATTGCTATTACTACTACTATGATTAATATTATTGTAATTGTTATCATATTTCTCTAGGTTTGAGCCACAGGGTTTTCCATCCAGTGTCCACTTGTATTTTTATGATGACCATTTCCAGGGCTACTTGGTGACTCAGGAAGTTCAGAATTCTGCAACTCAACAGATGGAGTCTCTAGAAATATGGATGATGCCCCGTGGGACTCTCAAATTAGCAGCTAGTGGCAAGTCAGCCAACCGTTTGCAGAATCTTGAGGTGGGATTCCTGTTTAGCTATTCTGTTGTTCTCTCCTGGTTCTTATTAATTCAAATGCTATCTCTGCTTCAACCAATGTATTCATTTCCCACACACACACACATACTTTATCAATATGCAGCTGACATCAGAAGATGCAATAATTAATTCAGCTTCTTGAAGGAAACATGGTAGTCAGTGATTGTGGATGGACTTGACAAGCACCGTCTCAACAATATATAACAATTTCACTTGATCTGCATTTCTGTTTTATGAGAAATCTTTTCTTCAATATTTTGCAGCTTCCTCCCACAATTCTGTCTGTTCCTGACTGTGACATTCAGTAGGCCAGCAAGTGGAGGCAGAGATTAGTCTTTACTCCCTGAGCTGTATGAAGCTTATAAAAAGTATGAGGCAAAGAAAAGATGACCTCCTCCATTCAAAATAAGGTCATTGAAGAATACTTGGGCAAGAAAAGAATTCTGTGGTTGAGAATGTGATCTGTGAAGAAAAGCCCAAAAGCAAGACTGTAGGAATTGAATATGACTGAAATAGCCTTCTCTGCAGCCACAGAACTTCACTTTTTTTTTCATGATTCTGCCCTATGTGGCTGTGAGGTGCTATAATATAATTAATAGGGTGGTATGATGTGTGAGAGAGCGCAGTGGCTTAGCGGTTAAAGACACTGAGCTTGTCTGCTGGAAAGCTGACAGCCTGGGTTCAAGACCCAAGTGCTGCAGAATGAGGTGAGCTCCCGTTTCTTGCCCCAGCTCCTGCCCACCTAGCAGTTTGAAAGCATGCAAATGTGAGTAGCTAAATATTTCAGTGGGAAGACAACAGCATTCTGCGCACCTTGGTGTATAGTCATGCTGCCCACATGACCATGGAAATGTCTTCAGATAATGTTGGCTCCCTCAGCTAAGATGAGCACTGCCCCCTAGAGTCAGACACGACTGGAAAGAGGAAGCCTTTGCCTTTGTGATGTGTGAATCTTTCCGTCCAGATGGGTCATCTTGAGAAGGATGGTGTCAACCCAGACTGAGTTTTCTGATTCGTGCTGCCCATGTATATGATATGAACTCTCTTGTGAGTCACTGAACGAGGAAAGCCTTAGACAAGGCAAATTCTAAATCTTTTTCTAGGTGGATATGCCAGCAGAAGAAAGGATTTTTTTTTCTAACAGCATTTGGAATAGAAATGCATATGGCAATGTATTCTATCTTTGTGTAGGAGTGCAGCTGGTCCTCGACTTAAAACTGTTCGTTTAGTGACCGTTCAAAGTTACAACAGCACCGAAAAAGGTGACTTCTGACTGTTTTTCACACTTAACGATTGTTGCAGCATCTCCATGGTCATATGATCAAAGTTCAGACACTTGGCAACCGATTCATACTTATGACGGTTGCAGTGTTCCTGGGTTCATGTGATCATCTTTTGCAACCTTCTGACAAGTGACGTCAATGTGGAAGTCAGATTAACCCGACAGCCATGCTACTAACTTAACAACTGCAGTGATTCAGTTAACAATTGTGGCAAAAAAGGTGGTAAAATGGAGCAAAACTCCCTTAATAACTGTCTCACTTAGCAAGGGAAATGTTGGGCTCAGATGTGGTCGTAAGTCAAGGACCACCTGTATTTTTTTTCCAAGTGTTTATTCGATGAAACGTTCTAAATGTTCTAAATGTTTCTTGCCTATTGAAGAGCATCCTGTCTGTGCTGTGGGTGGGTGTCTTCCCCATTACAAACACCTTTTTCCTGTCCACTCTTAACAGGTAGGTACTGAGTGGGACCCCAAAGAAAGGATCTTCCGCAATTTTGGTGGCCTGATTGGGCCCTTCGACGAACCAGTGGCCATGCAGAAATGGGCACGGGGACCCAACCTCACGGCCACCATCGTTTGGATTGATCCCACCTACATCATCGCCACGTCCTATGATATCACAGTAGATGCAGATGCAGAGTACACACAATACAAACCACCTCTCAGTCGGCCCCTTCGCCCAGGTGCTTGGACCATCCGCCTTTTCCATTTCTGGGAGCCCTTGGGAGAGAGCCAGTTCCTAGTGGTCCCCCAGACCTTCAATCACAAGCAGCCTCTCCGGAAAGGTAAGGGGGCTAAACTGGGAGTGCCTGGAAACAAGGAGCGTGAACTCAGGAGAAGGTTTCAGCTAACAAAAGGGATCTCTACCTTTACACGTGTGCTTGTGTATGTCTGTGTATGAATTACAGCAGTGGTTCTCAACCTTTTTAATGCCTGGACAATTCCTATTGGCTTTTGAAAGCCAATAGAATTAGACTCTATTCAAGAGAGTCTATTCTATTGGCTTTCAAAAGCCAATAGAATAAAAGGGAGTAGCATAGCTAAGGAAAAGGGGGGGGGGAAATGGCGGACTGCGTTGTTTGGCGACCCCATGAAATGGTTGTTCGACCCCAAATGGGGTCCCGACCCACAGGTTGAGAACCACTGAATTAGAGGGAGATCCCATTTTTCTTGTACATGTGTCTCCCTCGGAACAGTTAAAAAGAGTTGCCGTGTGACAAGATGGGCAGCAAATAAATTTAATAAATAAATAAAAAGTAAACAATTAAGGCTTATGCATAATGGAATGTGTTGAAAAGAAAAACCAAAGGCAGGCAAACAGAAGTGACAATAAGGGCAGGTACAACAGTTAAATGTATCGAGCATTATGTAGTCTGCCTGGGAAACAAGCATCTTCCAAAATAAGAAGGCCTTGAACAGACAATGAGCAGAGAAGATACCAAATCTGTGAGACACGGTCCCCTAGTTAATGTGATGTCAGTCAGAGGTCCTTCTTGTTCCACTAATCATACTTCCATTATGGGACACACAGAAGGGCTACTCCATCAGAGGACACTGTATGGATAAAGTATTATGGGAGAAGACATTTCTAAAGGTAATCCGGTTCTAGCCCTGCAGAACTTTTAAAGGGCCAACACCAACACTTTGATGTGTATTAGAATTCTACACCAATGATCAGCTCAAGATCAGTATAATAGGCAAATAGCTGGATTCTGGAGTAATTGCAGTTCATAAAGCCTATTTAGAAGGAAACCCCAAGTAGAATGTGTTACAATAATCCAGTCTGAATATAATTAAGGTGTGTATCACCATGGCCTTCTCTGATGTCATGAGTTGTTGTCATATATAAGCACCCAAGTTGAGCAGATGCACTGCTGGCTGCAACTATCTTTTGAATTTCCACATGGAAGCCACCCAGAATTGCTTCAAAAGAGATGGGTGGCAAATAAATTTAATAAAGCAAAATAAAATAAAATAATAAAAAATATAAACTTGAATCCAGAAGAACCTCCAGATTAGCTATCTGATTCTTCAGCATCCAAGACAGGCTGAAATCAGTTTTCTAATTCCATCTGTTTCTTGACTAAGACTACCTGTCTCTCTCTGGATTAAAGCAGAATGTATTAGCCCATATCCAGTATCCATTATTGCTACTAATTCAGCATATCAGCAGTTTATTGGCAGTGGATAAAGAGGTATGGAGCTGTGTCTATGTGTATGCACACACATGCATGATGTGTTTTTAAGGGCCTCCAGTGAATTCATATATTACATTTATGACTTAGTCTTTTGTGTACATTTATGAGTCTTTTGTGATTCCCTGAAACATAGCTCATTTCCATCACTCTATTGTCTACAAATGTCCTATACCGTTGTCAGAGGTTTGCATTAAATCTCTCTTTAAGGACGAAGGGGATATTACGTAAATATGACCCTTGTCAAAACAGCTACAATGCTGTCCTAAGCATGGATATTTTGAACTCTGACCATGTATAGCAAGCTCAGAATTCGCTTTTGAGCCACAGCAGCAATGATCTCTCTCCTCTTCTCAAATTAGGATGCACATCATAGTTTTGAAAATGTACAGAGCTCGATTTAAAAGAACATTTAATTCCAGATCAGTAGGCAAAACAAATATAATGCAGATTTTTGTGTTGCCACAATATCCTGCCTTTCAAAAAGACCCAGAAATTATAATTGTTATAAAATTAATCTATAAAGCCCTACATAGTTTGATTCCAAAGTATTTCAGGAACTGTCTCCTGCAAGTAGAATGTGCCTAATTGTGTGGAGTGAAAAAAGGGTTTAATGGTCCTGTCCTTGCAGACTCCTTCTTATTGGCCCCCGGGGATTTGGATACCCTGCTTCTGGAGCTACACTTGTTCCCTTCCAAAGAATATTTCTCATTGCACTATTTAATTGGGTGTTTATGCTGGGTGACTTTTATGGTTTTGGTTGACCTATTATAGATGGGATACAAGTTCTTCTCATTTATATTTATTGTCAGGTTTTTCATTGAAATGGTTGATTCCTGTATTTTTAACCTTACCACTATAAATCTCCTGGAATTATAAGCAGTTCTGAAACTGTTACAAAACACTTGATAATGGCAACACGAAGGGAGGAGGAATTTCAGTTTATTGATCCATTTACATTAGCAGGACGCCATTTTACATTCCTGTTTTCCTAACACAGGTGTCCAGCTCCTTGCAGAGACTGGACATCTTGTCTATGATTGGAGGAGAAATATCCTTAGTCGCCCCAAAAATGGTGCAAGTTTAAATTCAGAATAATGGGTGAAGTAGATAGGGATAGAAAGTAAAGATGATCTTGAGAAGGAAAGGTGGGGTGGGGTAGGGGAAGTTAAGCCCAGTCCGACTTACAAAGATTGGGTTATGGTAGCCAATATTAGTAAAAGTGAGTTTCAGCCTTCTTGTGGAGTTAATGTCTTGTTTGGCCTTCTCAGTGGGGCTGATAGTATGCCTCCCCCTTCCCCAATGACTGTGATGTTAAAGAGGGAAGGGAAGGAAGGCTTCTTCCCCCTCCCCCACCCGCCTTCAGTTCCATCCTTTGGCAGTCAGTTATTTTGCCCAAAGGCCACCAGTAATAAGGACAAGACACAGGAGGGATTCAAGACTAATGACTCTCCATTGAATTGGTTCTAGTAGAATCATACAAAATGCTCCATCACGGAATCTGCTCAATTGTTCTGAGATTGAACCGCTTGCCGAACAGTCAGAAGTTACTCCAGGTTATTAGCTTGCTTCTAGCCTAGTACAGGTGGTCCTTGACTTACAACCATTCATTCAGTGACTGTTGAAAGTTACAGCGGTACTGAAAAAATGACTTACCGTTTTTCACACTTAACAACTATTTGCAGCGACCCCCCCCCTCATGGTCACATGATCAAAATTCGGATGCTGGCCAACTGGTTCACATTTATCACAGTTGCAGTGTCCCAGGGTCACGTGATCCACCTTTTGCAACCTTCTGACACACCAAGTCAACAGGGAAGCCAGATTCACTTAATGGCCGTGTTACTAACTTAACAACTGCAGTGGTTCACTTAACAACTGGGGCAAGACAGGTCGCAGAATGGAGCAACATTCACTTAACAACTGTCTTGCTTAGCAACAGAAATGTTGGGCTCAGTTGTGGTAAGTCGAGGACTTACCTGTACATGATTACTGTACACTATTTGGGGATGGCATATAAATAAAAATATATGTAAATAAACACATATGTGCTTAAAATGTGGGCAGATTTGTCTTGCTCATCTCCTCTCTCTCTCTCTCTCTCTCTCTCTCTCTCTCTCTCTCTCTCTCTCTCTCTCTGTGTGTGTGTGTGTGTGTGTGTTCTGACTCAGATGATGGCAAGTGGCTCCATGCTGGCCCTCCCCGGAACGAGTACATGGAGCAGAATTTCCAGGGCCTGGCTGGCATCCTGAACCTTCCCCATTTGGATGAAATCGGGCGAGTTTCCCAGCAGCATGCACAGCTCTTTGGCCATGCTCTAGAGAACTGGACAGACAGCAGCATCAGCAGTTTCTGGTCAGTAGCTGGACTCTGTATGATGAGCCCTTCCAGCTGCTCGCCCTTGGAGCTCTGTAACAAAACCTCCTGGAGCTCACTGTCTCCGGACCCCAAATCAGAACTGGGGACCATCAAGCCTGATGGACGGCTAAGGTAGCAGGGGCAGCCGGCAGCACATTCTTGGGATCAAGGAAGCATCCCCCATGGAGGGCATGGGGTGAGGGGGGATAGGGGCCCTCCTCTCTGCAGGGAAAACTCTTCATAAGACTTCAGCCTGTGAAAATGCACCATTGTCATATGGGACAAATACGGGGACAGAAACATTTTGTCGTGGCAGGCTTAGTGGTGCAAAAAGTGGCAGAGCAGAATTCCCCCACCACCATTCTCAGGATTTGCTGGAAAGCAGCGAAGGCGAGGAAGAGGAGCAACATATTTATAAATCAGAGCAACAGAAACGTTCTTGACTGACAGATTCGACCGTTAGCTTCCTGGCTCCAGCGCACCTAAGCCAGTGGGACCTCATCAATCATGGAGTACGCTCTGCAAGATCAGCTCTGCAAGATCAGGACGCTCTGTTCCCAAATGGTTGCTGGCAAAGCATTCTGGGAAATGACAGGATGGAGTTGAGGAATACAGGAAGCCAGTTGCTTGACAGACCTGTTTTCCATCTTCTTCCTCCATCCTTTTGGTTCTTATTTTTTTCTCTCTTTTTTTTAAATAAAAGTGCATGTGTATATATAAGACAAAAGTGCAATATAGACCACCGTCATCTTGCCTCTCCCTCTTCTGTGTCAGTGTTTCCATTCTCTTCTCCAACTTGTTGTCTTGATGTTTTATAGGGTAAAAAAAATTGAGTGCCCTCCTAGGCATACTGGGTGATTGGATCTTGCTGCTAAGATTTAAAAGTTTTTTTCTTCTTGGGGGAAAAATGAAAATGAGCTCCCCTTTCTGGCCTTACAGGAGTTGGGCCTTTCTGGCCAATGTGCCAAGCTCCCCTTTAAATGGAACTGCCAGTGGTGCCAAATCCAATGTACCCACTAATGCCTATTGTGAAGTATCTCAAGCCTTACCTTCCTCTTTCAGTGTGAATTCTGGCTATGGCTACATATTGTTGGAGCTAGGCTAATGGCCCTAACTATTCTTTCTAAGAGATATGTGAAGCAAAGCATTATATATTTTTCCATTTGCTTCTTTTCATTGGATTGCTGGATATCTGCTATCTCCTGTTACCTCCCTCGGATTCCCCTAACCCA